CTTCATTCACCAGCTCCTTCAGGACCTGCAGATGGATTTCATCAGGACCCATGGACTTGTGCACGTTCAGATTTTTAAGATGGTCTTGAACCAGTTCTTCGCCTACAGTGGGCCCAAGGTCTTCATTCTCACAGTCCCCGCGTCTGCCTTCCAAGACTTGGGTGGTGCGGTCAGAGCCTTTGCCAGTGAAGAGCGAGGCAAAGAAGTCATTCAGAACCTCAGCCTGCTCAAAATCCTGTGTAGCTAGTTCACCTGAGAGCGTCCTGAGGGGGCCTACGTTCTCCCTAGTCTGTTTTTTATTTGCTACGTACCTGTAGAATCCCTTCCTGTTATCCTTAATATCCCTAGCCAAGTCTGAGGGGGCCTACGTTGTCCCTAGTCTGTTTTTTATTTGCTACGTACCCGTAGAATCCCTTCCTGTTATCCTTAATATCCCTAGCCAAGTTTAATTCTAACTGGGGCTTAGCTTTCCTAACCTGCTCCCTAGCTTCCCGGACAGCATCCCTGTAAACTTCCCAGGCCGCCTGTCCTTGCTTCCACTTTTTATAAGCCTCTTTTTTCAAATAATAGCATTAATGAGAGCCCTGGAACTGGCTAAAGATAAAAGGATAAATATTTGGACTGGTTCTAAATATGCATTTGGTGTGGTCCATGCACATGGTGCTATCTGGAAAGAACGAGGACTTTTGAACATACAAGGGAAACAGACTAAACATGCTACAGAAACTGCTGTTCAGCTACCTGAGGAAGTAGCTATTATGTATTGTAGAGGACATCAACAAGGTGACCCTAATCAGAAAATTGGAAATAATTTGGCCGATTTTAAAGCCAAACGAGCAGCTGAAAAATCTAAAATCATCTCCTTAACCCCTGACGGCAAACTAACAATTGAGAAATCTGAACCTAGATATTCAAAAGAGGATAAAAAGTTGCTTGAAGATCTGAAAAGGCAGGAAAACAAAAAAAAAAAAAAAAAAAAGAGTTAAAATAATTTCAGTTTAGGTCTAAGAAAACAACGTTTGTGTTGTCAGTCTGTGGTGTGATAATAGAATTTTGTAGTCTTAATAACAAGAGTGAATTGTTTCCTTTCATCCCTGTAATGAGTGAATTATTTCTTACCATCCTTCTAAGTATCAGTTTGGATACAGTGACTCCGGAACATCTGCTAGCTTGAGAGGCAATCGATTTTGCACAAAGGTCACACATAACGACACCTATGATTTGCGAAAGCCAATACATTTATGTGTTTATCACAATAAACCACCTGTGAGACAGGAACCACCACAGGAGGAAAGTGGGGATTGCCAATCAGACACCCCTCCAGGCAGTCCAGTATCCTCTCATACCTGAAGAAGGCAAGGGCAGGAAATATTGCAAGCAGAACAGGATGGGCAGACAAGGAGTATCCTAAGCTAGCAGATGTTCGGGAGTCACTGTCCCCAAACTAACTGGTAACTACAAGGATGGTAAGAAATAGTTCACTCATGTTAGTAAGACTACTAAATTCTGTTATGACACCACAGACTTACACCGCAAACATTGTTCTCCATCTTAGGCCTAAGTTAAGCTAAAAGTATTTTAACCCTATGTTTTCCAGGCACTCGCTTTCCTTATATCCCTCGGTACCGACAGGCCCGCGGGGGGAGCCTCGCCGTAGGACGGCACCATCGCCACCGGCAGCCCAGCGCCGCCACCTTCCTCCGGCCTTGGAGGCGAAGGCAGCGCCCGCCGTTGGTCGCTGCCGTCACGGGGCAGCGCCCCCTGGTGCGCCGGTCCAGCCGCTGAGGGCGGGCCTGGCCGGGCCGCAGGGAGCGGGGCCTGACCCGGTAGGGCTTGGCCCGGAAGCCCGCCCACCGCGGCCGCGTGAGCTTCCCTGGCAGGGGGTGCTGCGGGGCCCTTTGCTCTCCTCTGCACGCCTCCTGGAGCCGGGGTGCCTGCTCGGCGCGGAGCCGCTAGCTCCCGAGCCGCGCCGCTGGTAGCGGTCGGTGAAAGGCCAGCTCGCCTGACCCTCTTCGTTTCTTTCCCCGGAGCAGGCCCCCGGAGCGGAGCCGGAGATGCTCATGCACATGGATCAGAAGGAGGAACTGCGGTTGTCCCGGCCCCGCTCCTGCGAAGGGAAGAGTGCTCTGAGCGGCACCTCAGGTAAGGGCCATGAGTGTGAACCCGTCATGAGAAAGAGTGCTGCGGGAGCACCAGCGCCCCCAGAATGTACAAGGGCGGCGGTGCTGGGTTGGAGCAGGGCCTGTCCAGCTTCACCTGCTGCCTGTGACAACGGTATTCATAGCACCACAGGCCACCAGGCTGGGAGGGATCTCAAGGATCATCCAGTACAACTTTTCCAGTCAAAGCATGACCTGGACTGGATGTCCCAGTGGCCTGTCCAGCTGAGTCTTTAAAGCATCCAACAGTGGGGAGTGCACCTTTTCCCTGGGGAGATTATTGCAATGGCTGGGTGTTCTCACTGGGAAAAGTGATGTGTCCCTGTATCCTTTCAGAGGCCTGAGGCATCTGTGGCTTCAGAAGCTCCTGAACTAGGCACATAACGTCTCAAGATCTCTCTTCTTGCCTTCTCAAGCTGCGCACATTGTAGCATCCATGGCAGCTTGCAGCAAGGAGTTCCCCAGCTTATTTAGGTGATTTATGAATTGTTGCCTCCTTTAGTTTGCTTTGAAAGTGCCTTTTACTGCTGGCAGGAGTTCTTAATTTAGAACAGATGGTGCAGGATAGATGCCAACCCCCCCCACAGGCCACTTGTGTTTTTACAGTCCTCTGTGATACCCCTATCAGCTGTACCTTTTCCCAGCAGAATGGGCAGTTGACTCCTCTCCTATACAGGATCTGTTCTGTGCCTCTGATGGTTCCTGTCATGCCTCTGTCTTCCTCAGCTCTGTCAGAGTGTCTCTGACATGGGGGATCCGTCCTTCCCCTTGCACACAGTCAGAATGTGGGGTTTGAGCTGCAAGGCAGAATTTCCTTCTCTTTTCTTCCCTGTTGTTTTCCCCCCAGCACTCATTGATGCTTGACTGGCTGTGTTGTGTGCCTAGGAGCTGCAGTTTTCATCCAGCTGCTCAGACTCCAAGGTGCTATTCCTGAATGATATCAAGAACATCCTAGGCCCAGCCTGGTGTAAGTGCAAGCTGTAGAGGCTGTTCTCCTGTGAAGGTCTTTGTTTACCTGCAGTGAACGTCCCCTGTCACCTGGTTGGTCAGTATCTCAAGGCTCTGCCACAGTTTGTAGTCAGCCTTTGTGTTTTTAGCCCTGAGGAACACAAAATCGTCAGCAGATGTTTCCACCTCTCTTTTCCCTTCCTTACCACGCTGTCAGGTTCATTCATGCCTCAGCAGCTTAGCTTCTTTACCAGTTTTGGTGAAGGATGAATGTCTTTCAAGAATGCCTCTGGACCCCACATGTCCCTTTTCTCTGCTTACCTGGAGCTTGCCTTGTAGCTATATCACTGGCAGTCTTGGGCATATCAGAGGTCTTGCCATCAACCTAAATTGGCATGGGCTGAGGAAGAGCCACATTCTTCGTGTCTCTCTTGCATATTCACTTTTGCCAGTTCAGCCTTATGCTTCTAGTATTAAATCCTCATCATTGACCTTGCTCTCCTTCCACTTGAAATACTTCCAGTGAGTTCCTGTCTTGGTTTTATCAAAGCCTTTACAGACAGCGTGTCCTAGGTGCCAGTGAAGGTACCTAGTAGCTCAGAAGTAGCAGAAATGACTGTAGAAGCGCTAGAGCCGTGACAATAATTGTAAAAAGAATCTTGACACTCCTGATCTTCCCCCAAAAGTATAGAACACCATAGAAAACTTAATTGTCACATGGTTCTGAAGGCTTTTTCAAGGTCTATTTAAAGAAGCAAACTTCTATGTAAGTGCCAAAGTCAGTATCTCTTTGGACACAGTGGCAACAGAACAGCTTGGCTAGCTCCACTCTCTACTCCGTAAGTCTGACGAATGGGTCAAGAGCTTCATGCTGTCCTGCCAGAAACATCCTTTTTCCATCCTGTCTGTGGCATACAGTTAATTTGATTCAGCACTAAGACTGGTATAAGCCAGGCTCCAGGCAGTGTCCGTGTCTCATGCCTTATACATCTTCTCTTTCTCTGCAGTACCAGCAGCACAAGAGCATGGAGATTACTGTTGTAACCCAAATAATGTTCTGAACAAGGCAGTTGTTTATGGCCTTCCTCTAACTCCCAGTACAACTTTTAGTAACATCCTATGCAGACAAGCAGAGAGATCTGGGCTTGTTCAGCCTGGAGAAGAGAAGGCTCTGGGGAGATCTTAGAGCAGCTTCCAGCACCTAAAGGGCCCAACAAGAAATGTGGAGAGGGGCTTTTGACAAGAGCAGGCAGGGACAGGAGAAGGCGGAATGGCTTTAAACTGACAGAGGGGAGATGTAGAAAAGGTGAAAGAAGTTGTTCCTTGTGAGGGTGCTGAGGCTCTGGCACAGGTTGCCCAGAGGTCCTGTGGCTGCTCCATCCCTGGTAGTGTTCAAGGCCAGGTTGGATGGGGCTTGCAGCATCCTGGTCTTGTGCAAGGTTTCCCTGCACATGGCAGGAGGCTGGAACTGGATGTGATCTGTAAGGTCCATTCCAGGTAAAACATCCTGTGGTTCTGTTGCCCCTTGGGATTTGCCCTGTCCAAAGCTTCCAGTCCTGCCTGTGACTTGTCTGGATTTTCATTTTATTGCAGCTGAAGATGGGATTGTGAGCATGAATGAAGACAATGCCCATCAAGGCAGCTCCAGACCAATGGAGTCCAAGGGTTTATGCTCAGGACTCTCCAAGGAGAACAGTTCCCAGGGTGTTGCACAGGACCCTGTTCTCCCACACAGTTCAGAAAGGATTCAGAGATCCAAGAGCTTCCAGGTGAGCTCCAACCTCATCCAGCATCAGAGAATCCACACCGGAGAAAAACGCTTCACCTGCATTGAATGTGGGAAGAGTTTCAAGCACCAGTCACAACTTACTCCTCACCGGAGGATCCACACAGGAGAGCGGCCCTACAAGTGTTTCGAGTGTGGGAAGAGCTTCACTGTGAGCTCGAAGCTGATGCGGCACCAGGTAACCCACACTGGGGAGAAGCCCTACAAGTGTTCCGAGTGTGGGAAGAGCTTCTCCGACAACACACAGCTCATCCGGCACCGGCGGGTGCACACTGGGGAGAAACCCTACGAGTGCAGGACCTGCGGGAAGAGCTTCAGCGTCAGCGCAGCCCTGACACAACACCAGCGGGTCCACACGGGGGAGAAGCCCTACAAGTGCTCAGAGTGTGGGAAGAGCTTCTCTGATAACAAGAAGCTCGTCCAGCACCAGCGGGTGCACACTGGGGAGAAACCCTACGAGTGCAGGACATGCGGGACGTCCTTCAGGATTAGCACAACCCTGGCACGACACCAGCAGGTCCACAGTGGGGAGAAACCCTACAAGTGTACGGACTGTGGGAAGAGCTTCGGCCACAGCTCTGCTCTCATGCAACACCGGCTGATCCACACCGGGGAGAAGCCCTACTCCTGCGTGTACTGCGGGGGCAGCTTTCGGCAGCGTGCCCGCCTCATCCAGCACCAACGCATCCACACCGGGGAGCGTCCCTACGTCTGTGCCGAGTGCGGGAAGGCCTTCAGAGTGAGCTCGGCACTCGCCCGGCACCAGCAGACCCACAAGGGTGGGGAGCCCTAGGTGGGGTGAGTGTAGGGAGCAGTGAGGTCTGATACCCTGTGAGCAAAGCCTGGTGTCTCCCACTCCCATTGACCACCCTGCTTGTGGAGGGTGAAAGCAGTTTCTTCCTAGGAGAGTGAGCCCTCAGAGATAAAGAAGGGGAGAGCCGGTGGAGGGAGCGAGTTAGAGGTTTGGGGCAGGTGTCAGGAGGAAGGTGCCTGACTCTTCAGTGGTGGGCAGCCCCAGGATGAGGAGCAGTAGCCATGAACTGAAACACAAGAGGTTTAACCTCGACACGACGAAGAACTTGTTCCGTTGCAGTGGCAGAGCACTGAACAAGGTGTGCAGGGGGATGTGGAGGCTCCATCTCTGGGCACGTCCAAGCCCTGCCTGGAGACGTTCGGGTGCCCCTGCCCCAGCAGGGCTGGGACCGGGTAACCCCAGGGTCGGCTCCCATGGCTGGTACCGCTCGCAATGGCCCCGCGCAATAAACGTTCATTGAGCGCCGCCACGTTGCCTTCCCGACTGCGCCTGCGCGGGTGCTTACGCTTCGCTCGGAAGTCGCCATTGGCCGAGGGGAGGTGAAAGGAGGCGGGGCCGGGGACTTAGGGCCGCTGTGCGGTGTCTCGGCCGCCTCCACCAATCGGCGGCGCGGTTGCGTGCCGGAGGTGGCTCCTGATTGGCTGCGCTGCCCCCTCCCCCCAGTAGGTGATAAATTCGGGGCGGCCGGGCCGGGCGTTGATTTCACGCCGTGGGCCGGAGGGCGGGTGGCGAGGGCTGCGTCAGAGGCAGAGGGTGAGTGCGCGCCGCCCGTGTCCATGGCAACGCTGCGGGGCGGCCCCGGGCTGAGGCCCTCGGGATTACCCGCGGGTCTCCCCCACCTCCAGCAGGGCTCTGCTGCGCTGGGCTCGCCCCCCCCCTTCCGGTTCCCGCGACATGTGGGCCCGGTACCGGGGATTCTTGGCGGGGAAACCCGTGCGGGACTTGTGAGGGTGTTGTCCGTGTGCCTTTACCCCGCGAGCCCTGGACGGCCGCTCCCGGGAGCAGCTCCTGGCCCGTGGCTGTGGCCTGGGCCTCAAGCTGTGCTGGGTCCTGTGCTGCGTCTGCCAGCCGTGTGCTCGGGAGCAGCGGGGCTGTGTGCGGCTGTGCCGGGCCAGTGCTTGTCAGGCCTCCCGCATCTCTTCCCTCGGCTCTTGCGGGCGAACGTCCACACAGTAGCTGAGGAGAGTGTTCCAGAACGGCTGCCTCATACCCTGCAGTGGTTCCTGCACACAGCTCCTCTAGGAGGATGTTTGAGTGTTTCAGGACAGGAGCTGCGCCGGGTTCTGCTGGTGTCCTGGGGGCACTTGGCTCTTCTGCGTCCCTGGCAGTGCTCAAGGCCAGGTTGGATGGGGCCTGGAGCAACCTGTGCTAGTAGAAGGTGTCCCTGCTCGAAACAGGGCTAGCATCTGGATGAGCTTTACGGTCCTTTCCAACCCCAGCCATTCTGTGGTTCTATAATTCTTGATTCTGCTGAGCTCAATGAAGAGCTTGATGGACAAAGGACTATGAAGTGTATTGCTGCCCCAGCTTTTCCTTTGCTGGGTGAAACAGATATGTTTTTCAAGCCTCTTAGTGCCTAGCACAGCACTGCTTTACATACATCAGCTATAAGTGCCTGTCACTGACCCTGCTTGGAGTATCCCAGGCACAGCTGACTGCATGCTGGGATGAGCAGGGCAGGTACTGGCTCTCCGCACAGCAAAGGCTGTTGGTAAGTTCATGTGTGCCTGTCACACTCCATTGCTAGTCTCCCCAGGTGCAAAGCTGGTCGAGTGATGTGCCCCTTGTGCTGTTCTCCCAGGCAGTATGAGAAAACAGATTCCGGATGCAGTCCCTGTCACAAGGGCTGATTACCCAAGTGCAGAACTGGACAAGATCTGTGAATTTACCAGGAATTTCCTTCCTTGGTCACGTTGTTGAGGTGCTGGACTGTGGCTGTGGGGGACAGAGGTAGCGTTTACGTGGGCACCTCTTAAAGTGCCTTAGACTTGAATTATTTCCTAGATGTAGGCTATGTCCAGTTGAAGTTTTGAACCTACCTGGGGTAAGGCAGTGTAAAAATTATTCTGTGAGGTGCCATTTACAGCCCCCAAAACCTCCCCAGGGGAGGAGGAGAAGGTGTGAAGCTCTTCTGATGTGAGTGCCAGGTTACCTTTGTGATTGCTCTTCAAGCTGCTAGGCCTGGGGTTCTGGGGTTTGTCTCCACAGCTGTGATTCTTGGGTAGGTGCAGCCACGCTCTGCTGCTGCTTGTTAAGCAAGGATGCAAGTTCTGCATGTGTGGAAATAGCCTGAAGTTGTAAACTGGTTGAAGAGCAAACTTGAACTCTGTACCACCTGGGTGTTTACAAATTACTGAGCTTCTCCCAAGGGTGCCAGAGCGAAGCCAGGGCTTCAGTCCTGCTTCCCTGCCACAGCAGTGTCTACTTTGTTCAGAAGGCACTGGATTGTTGGGATTAAGTGTCTTCCTACCCTGAGAAGAATGGCTGTGCATCTTGAGTGTGAAACTTACTGTGGAAATGTGTCAGGGGCAAACTAAGTGCTGGCTAGATGAGATAGGGATGTTTTCTCAGAGGGCTTGAATACTATTATTGGGAAAGAAAAGTTTGGAGTGCTGAGGTGTTTTGTACCAAGCCTTGTCTCCAATCTCCAGCCCCACTGTCCTGCCTCTTGTAGCTGTTGGATTCCTCACAGGAGGCTACTGGTAGGGCACCGAGAAGGTATGTGTTTACCCTGAACATCAGCCAGGTCTTGATGAACAGAGCTGATGAAGCAAATGAAATGACATTCCAGCCTCTGCAGAGGAAGGGGGCAGCTGCTTGAGCCGCCTGCTTGGTGAGTAGGAAACTGCCTCTGGCAGGGGAGCAAAACTGCGAGAAATGAGGGCCCTGAGCATTGACCATGTTGTGGGCTTTCAGTTACCACTTTCTGAATAAAAGGGATGTGTAATGGTAAAGGATACAGTGATTTTTACTTCCCTTCCTCTGAGTTCTCATGTGATACCCTAGTACTGAAAAGGACAGGGGTTTCATTTGTCCTGACTTGTCTCCTGAATTCACGGCTCATCATGTCTATGCTGGATGATACTGGGAAGAATCCCAGCTTCCATATTGTCCTGTGTATGTAGTGTCCTCACTTTGGGCTCAAGGGACTGGCGGTGTCACTGTCCTGGCTAGCGCTGTAGAGGTGATCATGTCAGATGGAGGATCTGCAAAAACAGCTGTGGGAGATACAAGTCTGACTGCACCAAAGTCCTTAAATGACTGTCTGTGTGCTAACCCCTTCATTCACCAGCAGACACTGCTGCTGGAAAAGTAATTCACAGCTCTTAGATGTGCTTCTACAACGGTTGTTACACGTTTGGGTAAAGGCTTCTGAGAGCCCAGCACATGCCCCATGGCATGGAGAGCAAAGTCCGAGTGCTGGTGAGTGCTGCTTAACATGAGGGTGTTGCAAGAGATGGGTGCAGAGGCTCTATCAAGTGAGTTAGCAGATGTGTCTTGTAGAATGATGATCCATGGAGTCATGCTGTGTATGTGTGCCCATTGGGAGCCTTGAGCCATTGCTGCTGCTGTTAACTAGTCATGTCTGAGGCTTGATCTGGTGGCTTCCTTTGGGTTGGATGGAATGTCAAGCCACCTCCAGGCCTCTTGCTGTCTGCAGGGTGGTGCTGAAGTGCTCTTTGTAGCTCTGCTCTCACCTGCTCCTCTGTGCCGTTTGCTGCAGGCCTGTCAGCACGCAGAGGCAGCACACCCTACCTGCAGGACTCTGCCTGTCTGGAAGTATAAGATAAATTGGAACCACTTTCTCTAGTTTAATTTTGGGATCTGCATTTCTTGAGGAGTGCCTGACTTGAAGCCAGCTGTGCAGGAAGCCAGGATGCCATCAGGACTTGTGCAGCTGTGCTGGCAGGAGGCTGGCTGTGCTGTGAGGCAGGCAGGCTGTTCCTCTGGGCCCGCAACCAGCTCCTGGCTCAGCCTGGGCAGGTTCTGCCTCTGTGCTTCAGTTTCCCTTCCCCATGGTGGATGTTTGGAGCTGTGACAAGTTTGCTGACCCGGTGTGGTGCTTGCTGTCCAGTGAGTGATCAAAATGAAAATAGCGCCCTTGAACCTGGCTTCCTCTACCCTCCGGCTGGGGAGGCTGTGCTGTGTCCTATCCTGTGGGATGTGGGGCTGATTCCCCTGTGACTTCTGTTCCTGCAATGGGCTGGCTGGCGTCACAAAATACTGTATTGTGGTCAGCCCTCTCCTTGGGGATGGCTCTGTCCCAGTGAGCCCGAGGATGTCGACGCGGGAGTCACGGACAGCACAGGAACGATCAATGTGATCAGCGAATGCCAATTTATTACAAAGCTTTAACTCCTTATATACCATTTCTTACAGGCACTTACAGTGATTTGGCATATTATGATTGGATACAGGTCTTGAAGACCCTTAGTGACTAACACACAATTGGTTAAGCACAGGTGTGAGAACTTGGCCTCGAAAGCTTGCCAGCAGTCCACAGTTCTCATTATCTCAGTGAATTACAGCTTCTTCTTATCTTGCTTGCTTAAGCTTCCTCGGGCCTCTCACGGCCTTGCTGTATCTTTCAGGATTATTCAGGTTTTGCACCAATTATGCGTTCTCCTGTGAGAACACTGTCTCCACATCTCCCCCTTTTTGTTCTATGTATCTTTTCAATGACCCTACTTGAGCAGGGGATTTGGGCTAGATCATATTTTCAACATATGCCAACTACAGGCTACTGGGCCTGCCCCTTTTTTCTGCTGTATGGCTCTCTGGTAACAGGGGAGGCCATCCTTCACTTCAAGGTCTGGCATGGCATGTGTCCCCACCACTCCACGCCTGCTGGGTTGCAGTCAGCAGCGGAGCCAAAGGTTCTTCTTGGTGGCAGGCACAGAGGCCAACCCAGTCTTGCCCTTGATTGTGGTAGCAGGCATTTGGTCAGCCTCAGTCCTTGCATCTTGTCAATGCAGTTTCACCTGCTTCATCCAATAACAAGCTGTTATTATGGCAAGGCACACACTCAGATTTACATTAGCAGAGTAACTATTACAGGGTGCAGCAGCATGTTGAATATGCTGATGCCAGCAAGGGACTAGCCAAAGAAATTTCTTAGCAGTGGAATTCTCTCACCCTCTTAATTTGCTCCATTACCTGCTTTATAACACTACCATTGTATTAAGATATTTCTGTCTTTTGCTTTAGTATTTTCTAGCAGCTACTACAAATTTGCATACTCTAACATCTTTTT